CAGATTTCGGATTGAGCTAAAACCTATGTTTTAGCGGACAGTGAAAAAGAAGACAGAATAATCGTGTTTGCCGATATACAAGGGAGTCTTCTTAGAGATGGAACCAAATTTTTTGATGATGGGACCTTTAAAAGTTATTGCCCATTGTTTGAGCAGGTGTATACTGTACATGTGGACCTAGAAAGCACTGAGCAATCAATGGTAGTTGTACCTGCAGCATTTGCTTTGCTTCCATACAATAACACATAAAAAGTTTTTCGATTCGCCCAGCACTTACAAGACACCTTCCAACCAATTGAAGGAGAAGAATTACTTAACTAGGATTATCAAACCAACCTCTTCAAAGGAAACTGTAACCGTTATAAAAAAATAATAATCTTAAAAAAGCTTAGATTTAATTACAGGAGAAATTTTAAAACAACTTCCAAAGAAAGCCATAATTAAACTTACACACCTGTTTAATGCCCCATTCAAACGAAGGTTTTTCCCTGGGTTGTGGAAAGTAACTGAAGTCATTATGATCCCTAAACCAGGAAAACCTCTGAACGAAGTTTGGTTATATATAATGAAAAGACTGAAACCCATCATTAAAGAAAGAAAACTAATTTAAGATTAGCAGTTCTGCTTTAGAGAAAACCATTCAACTATAGATCAGCTTTATAGAATCTCAAATGCGATTGAAAAAGCATTATAAAACAAAGAAATCTGTTAATCCATCTTCCTCGATGTTGCGCAAGCTTTTGATAAAGTATGGCATGATGCTTAAGACATAAACTAAATGTGCTACGTCCGCAGCTATACTCAGAGCTACTGAATTCATACATTTCAGATAGATTCTTTAGAGTAAAACAAGATGAAGAATACTGGTTACTTGGTAGGCATTTCAATTTATCTACATATAACAAAATTCTATAACATAAACAAGTTCTTAAACCAATTTGGATCTCGCAGTTAGCTCTGAGGGTGTACCAGCTACAGTAATAATCTAATAACCCAGAGATTCCAGAACAAAGTATTGAGGAACATTGTCGATGCTCCTTGGTACATTAGAAACAGCAACCTTTAATGAGACCTTCATATGGACTCTGTTGACCAGACTATCACCAGATTCACTATGAGTCACGAACAACGGCTCCACCAACATGTGAACTTTGAGGCGATCCAGCTTCTTGACAACACGAACATGACAAAGAGACTCAAGAAAGTGAAACCTTCTGAGTTAGCCAAGTGATTGTGTTAATAACAAAGCAAAGCATTGTGCGGTTTAGTGATACAGGTTAGTTTTGTGTAATAAAATATCAGACCCTACGGTATAGTTGTTACGGTTTGATTTTCACCTTACTATACCTGGTCAATTCTATGAAAATACTTCTTTAGTTTTAGAGAAAATACCATAAATAAACTGAACTAGTAGTATGATCTTTATTTTCTATCACTATAACTAAATACACCTTCCATCTATTACTAATAAAGTATAATAATCTTTCATTTCTTCATGTTTTTATTTTGATCTCAGTTTCACTCATGATTCACTATATCACTATATAGTTACACTACTCCAATTCTGCAATTCTAATTATAAATACTTTTTTTAACTCCCAAGTGTTTAGGTTCGCGCAGTGTTTAATAATTAAGATTCTATCAAATTATAATTTATTTAATTATTCTTATCAGTTAGTTGTTGGAATATTAGGTTAAGTATATGTGCAGAGTTCGTTAAAATTGAAAATTAACAGCGTATTTATACCTCTTGTAGCATTTCTCATTGTGCAATATACGTGTTTAAAATTATAGACTTTTGTATTTTTGTTTAGAGTAATCCTTGGTAAATATTCACTAATCTATTGGTAGATTGAAGATTAGTTGGTCGACTGTTAAAGGTACCTACTCGTGTCAATTTACCTGGCGTCCGCAATAAGATATTTTTTTATTGACAGAACCACGCCTTCTCCGTCTGTTAGCTAGTCGCGAGTAATCTTATGTTATCATAGCTCGGTGGCGGTGACATACTAGCGAGTAGAACTTTAGTTTTTAAAATTGCAACCCTAGTTAAGTTCGATTGATTTTAGCAAAATTATTTATTGATCAACTCTTGAACAGATTGTAATATTAATAAACGCTTATGGAGTTTTTTTTTTACAAAAATATATATGTTAGTCCAAAAAGTCTCCGTACACTACCTGCTTTACATCGAACTTTTTTGTTGTATTCAATTAATTAATCAAAACTCTATGAGAATATATTTTAATTGATAATTGAAACATATTTTTAACGATTATTAGTAATAATTGCAAAAACGAATCCTTATTTAAAAATTACATCAATAATATAAACATCTATACAAAAATAATGCCAAAAACGTCTCCGTACACTTAACAGTTTCTAATAATAATTTAACAGATAGGAAACAAATGTAAAAACTAATATTTAGTTGGAACGCCTTGATAATCGCTTGTAACCTTCTTGTCATACTTGAAACCAACTTTCTAGTAAGTTCTGCTGGAATGTTCTCCCATTCGTGCAATACTCTATTTTTTAACTCTTCCTTACTTGAAACGTTGTTTGCGAACGCGCTGTTTAAGTTCCTCCCATAAACGTTCAATGGGGTTAACATCAGGTGATTGCGGGGGTATGTGAAGTTGCTGTCGCACGTTATGGATCATCCATTCTCGCACCAAGTTTGCAATATGCTTTGGATCATTGTCGTGTTGGAAAATGTATCTTCCTTCGAGCGCTAATTTCTGCACACTTTCTGCTAAATTGTCTCGCACAATATTCATATAGACATGTTGATTCATGATCCCATTAATGAAATGTAAATTTCCAACACCTCCAGGCGACATGCATTCCCATAGCAGAACACTTCCACCCTCGTGTCTTACCGTGGAACAGAGGTTTCTAATATCAAAGGCGGTATTCTTATTTTTCCAAACTTTAGCTCTACCACCAGATCCAAAAAGGTTAATTTTAGTTTCGTCACTAAATATTACAGATTTTCAAAATTCAGGAGGCTTATTAACGTATTCTGTAGCAAAAGCTAAACGTTTTTTTGGATTAACTTCCGAAATTAACGGCTTCTTTCTGGCAGTATACCCCTTATAGCCTGCTCTGTGTATACAATTTCTCACCGTTTGTGGGCAAACATTTTTTGAAAATAGCTCTCGTATTTCTTCTTATAGTTTTGGTGCACTTTTCTTGGGATTTATAATTACTTGCCTAACAATACAAGCTTCTTCACGCGGAGTCAGTTTCTTGGGACGACCAGAACGTGGTCGAATCTTGTAGGAACCCTTTAATTTATACTGGTTTATAATGTACTGAACGGTAGTATACGGCTTCTTAACAATTTTTCCAATATTTCTAAGGAATTTTTTTTTCTTTCCATAAATCAACTATCAACTTTCGAAGTGGAATTGAAATTTCTTTCGCTAATGACAACTAATGACAGATAATAAATTATGGCCGATAAATATTTATTTGTTTTTAGGCTGGCGAGCCATAGGTGCCTTGATGAAATGCAGCTAATTATAATGTGCTTTTTTCAATGAAAATTATGTATGTACGGAGACTTTTTTGACATAAATTTTGCATAGATTTTTATAATGCCTATGTTTCTTTTAAATAAAATGTCCATTTATTGTAATTATAACTTATAATCGTTACTTATGCTTCAGTTATTGAAAAGAGCTTCAATTAATAAATTAAATGCAACAGAAAAATTCTATATAAAGCATAAACATTGTTAATGTTAATAATATATTTTTATTAAAAAAAATTCATAAAAGAATATAACAAAAATTTTAATAAAAGATGGCCAAATTTAACATTTGTGAAGCAGCATATTGAATATTACATAATAATGAAAACTTAAAAATCGGCAAATATTAAAATTTGTTTCCAGCGACATTAAAAAATCTTAATTGATTATTTACATGCATTTTGGCAAAAACTTTGTCAATTTATTGCATTTTTATGTTTAAACCATTTATTTAACCACTTTTTGAAAATAAGTTTCTCGCATATCCACTTACGCATCACTTTAAAACGTTGGTGAGAAAAAATGGTCCGGCAAAGATGGTGGAGAAACTAAGTTTTGTGAAAAACATAACAAAAACTTTAAAATACAACAAAATCCAGCCATAAGAAAATAAGTTGCGTGCCTGCCTTCTCACGAACTACGTTAAAACGTTAGAGAGAAAAAATGGTCTTCCGAATTGGTGGAGGCTTTGATACTTCTTGAAGGTGGGCACTTATCGTCGAGTGAGGTTATCTGCACCTTGACTCAAGGTGGGTGGTAAAGGGCTAAGGTTACACAAGGAGGGGTTAATTTTAACAAGATTATGCCCGGTGTTCAGCTTTGAGTGGCTGAGTAAAGTTAAAAGAAATGAAACACTTAAAATTTGTTGGTTTAATACAACCCAAGTCGCTGGTGTCGTTATATATTTAACTCTATATAGTCGACTAATATGCTTAAAAAAATAAAGTTTTCACAAAAGTAACAGTTACGGGGCCAAGAGTATACTTTTGGTTAACAAGTACGTATGTAATATTATGTAATATTATTATTAAAAGGGTGGTGGCATGAGATAAGCTTCACTAGAATAAATCTTAAAGTGTATGCACCTACAGCTAAACTAAGGACATAAGCTTCATGCAAGACTGGTAACAAGCAGACGAAGCGACTTGGTGCAGGTAAATGCTCTCAAAAATAAAATACGGATTAATCTTTCTTGATATACTTGTAGATTCTATCCATGATATTATGGTGGTTGTCCATAGTGGGGCTTCTTGGTGACCGAAGGGCCATTGGGTACTTCTGTTAGGGCCTACCGCAGATGTACATCATGCACCGCAAGCATGGAAGTCCAGGTTAATTTGTCCAGGCAGATAGTGGATGTATTTATGATCATGCACAATATTCCTTAGATGTGAAAGCCAGGCGATGAGCACACATGTTAAGCTGAAGTCCAGTGATAGTAAAAACTAACTTGAAGTTAAAGATGAACAGTAGATGGATAAAATTAACAAAGGGGGAAGTTGAAGTAAAACAAAAGTACAGTAGAAGTAAAATAGATGGCCTGAAGGTTATAAGATGCAATGGTTATCATGCAGAATTAGTTACACTTACCGTTGATGAAATGTGGACAAAAGTGAGTATAATGGTTATACTGTGTTAAGAAATGTATTAGCTATAAGCGATTTTCTTACACACTAATAGTGTTTCTCAAGAGCACTAGTAACAAAATGGGCGAAAATAGCTTATTGCAAGTTCAAAGTCCAAAACTTTGTACCTTAAAGATTGGTCTCTTACTATAAGACTTGTAAAACCCTACTGATGACTCAAGGATTGAATAATTTACTGGATAGGTGAAAGTAGAATAGGGACCAAAGTTTAGTAGAAGAAGAACCGTTTGGAAAAGGTAAACAAAACAAAATGGGGTGTATAAAAGTCAGAAAAATATACTGTAATTATTATGAAAGCTAGTATTGTGATGATAATCAATAAAAGTGGTGTAAGCAAGGAAGTTTTTAGTATTTTCTAGCTGATTTTTAATAGTGATATTTATTTTTATTATCGAACAAATAGATGGTCATGATTTCGTTGCTAGACTTATTTAAAAAAGCTAAGTGAGTATTTTGATTCAATATTTATTAATATGACTATTAAAACTGATAACTACTACAGTAATTGTATAAAATGATATATTTATATATAAAATATGGTTAATTTATGCCTCTGGAAATCTAAACCGTAACATAATCATAACGAAAATGTTAAGAAAATAAGTTTTTGAGAGGCACGTATCACTTTTAATGCCTGTAGCTACTTAAGCTCCCCAGTCTGAACGTCACGCTTTTGTAAATTCGTTGGACATGTATAAAAGCACAATTTAATAATAAATTAAGCTATAAGAAAATAAGTCACAAATATGCATATTGGCTGTAGGACTATTGAAGGTTTTGAGCGAAAAAATGTAACACTGAACTCTTTTTGTAACAAATAGAAATAGTTGACAATATCACGGGTCAAGTTTGGCAAAAAATATTTTCTTTATATAAATTTTACTATTCTTTTTCACTCTATTAGAAATATTATTTTTAAAATATATCCTTAATGCATTCCTAGAAAACTTATTTCCTCCACATTTCAATTTTTAAAGTCCGGTCCACCATTAGTCAGTTAGCTACGGTATTGTTTTATAGTTATAGATATATTATCAATCTGCTCCTGAATACCCAACTATATTTCTTCAGTCGGTCCGTGTATGTGTGAGAACGATTTAATTAAATTGAATTAGAAATGCAAAAAGAGAGATTCCATATATCACGGTGATCAATGATCATCAGAGAATAAAAAAACAACATATCCCAAGATAAAACATTTACGCCTTTTATATCAGCAATGGTAATAAAGCTGCGGTGCTGAAAAAACAAAGTAATAATGAACAAAAAGCAACTTTTATAATTGAATTTCCTTTAATCGATCAAACTAGACTCGGGCTGTTCGTTTCTCCTATGCCCGTGAATCCGTGGACCGTTCTGCAATATTTTCATTTGCGAAGTCGGGATGGCACATCCTTTGTTACGCTGAAAATGATAAAGTACTTTTTGTCCTTCGGAATTATGATTAATGGATGGACAGTACGCGGTCGATTAATTCTCAATTTTATACATAACCAAATTGTTAAAAAAAAAAAAATAAATGAACGGTGGGTGATTAACGTCGTTTCTCTCAATTTTCTTCCTGGCTTTAAATCAATAATGCAAGGCTTTCGTGCGAGTAAAGTGATCTCTTGATTTATTATTATTCATTTATGCCTATCTTCCTTTTGTGGTTTTATAATCAGCCATTTTTCTATTGAACTATTTTATTAAAATCCTTTTCAAGAGTAAAAAGCTCATCTGCGTCACAGTAATACGCGAAAAATTGTCGTCATAGTCACTGTTTATTTAAAGGCTTTTATATTAGACGTTTTTGAAAGATAACAAAGTAATTATTTTTTAATTTAAAACAGAATCAATTAAAAAAATGCATTTTTGGCTATATTTGTCATTAAGTATAAAATATATATACAGTGTGGTCCAATAAAAAGTATCCATCTCCCTTTTCTTGGTCCCCTTAGATTTAAAGCAGAAATGCTCAAATATGGGGTTAACAACCCTTAAAATTAAGATAAGAAAAGTACCAAAAGTGACAGGTAGTTTTATGGTAAATTACATTTCAATTTTGTTAGTTTTTTAAGTTTACCTACTTTCTAAAAAAAGTAATTATAACTGTGAAATTGATTTTTTAAAGATTTATTAAAACGTTAATTTAAACGATAGAAAATAAAAACATGACCGAATAAACCAAGGAAATTTTTATATATATTATTGTAAATAATTTAATTCTAGGTTTAAGTTAAACATTAGCACTGATCATTCCACAAACAGCCCTAACTGTAGTTACTTATTAAACAGAATAGATAATCTTAAATCTAGGACTGATTATGGCTAGTTTTGTAAATAAAAAGTTAAAGTTAGTATATTTTAATACGCGTTCTTTATTCCCTAAGTTTGATATGTTTGTTGACATAGTTAAATTAAATAAAATTGACATAGTGTGTATGACAGAAAAGTGGTTAATGTTTAACGACCGATGCAGCAGAGTTTAAAAACGACTCAATGCGCATGCTCAATATTTCCGCAACGAGCTGCTTGTAAGTGCTAAAAGTGAATTATTTCATTGGCGATACATTGGACGTATATACAGTGTGTTTCATAAAGTTGGATCGATATGGGAATTTCTTTAAAATAACGATATTAAAAAACTCCGTAAGGTATTCATCTCTATTTTTTTTAAAACTTAAAATAGGCCACATTAAAGTAGCCCATATTAAAATTTGTCATTGCATTATTTATCTGTCAAATTCGGTATTTTTTAAAAAATCGTTCAAAAATTAACTTTTTGAATGCGAATTTGTCAGAAAACTAATGCCAGCAGCCAACTTTGATATGAGCTATTTTAAGTTTTTAAGGTAGTTCACTCGCGACAGTCGTACATAAAAATATCGCTTACTGGTGAATACCAATAGCACAGCTTAACAATACAGCTAAAACACTCTCTTGGCGGCAACGGTTTGCGTCGATTTCGTCGCGCATCGCTTAAGCTCCGCCTTCGAAGGGAAAAGACGGTTTTGGCGTTCAGAAGTGTACTTAGGTAAGGTGTTGAGTCGTGCGTATAATTTTGTTGATTGTATAATTTCGTGGAGCCTATAATTTCGTAGATTTTGTTTGAGTTAAAGGTACTGTTATTATTTTGGTGACTCTTTAGCTGTGAGTAGAATGAATGAAAAAAAAGACATCATTCTGTTTGTGCAGTCAAAAGCTGTTTTAATGAGGGTTATACCTGCAAGAAAACATTCTTTAGTTTTCCCAAGGACCCAAACCGATAAGTACCACATTATAAGAAATTTTCATTGTTAAAAATATAATTTATACAGGGTGTCCCATTAGTGCGTTATTGTTCATTATTTTGTTGTAGACACGCAAGAAAGTTTTAAATAAAAGTTATATGGATTTGAAAAATACCTACATATTTTAAAAATATCTTTGGATATACAGGGTGTCACGTTTTTGCCTGGCAAATTAAAATGTATGTATTTTATTTTATGATGAAATTATTAACACCCTAAATTATTGTAAAGACGAATTGCTACAGAAAATTTTTATCAGGTATGTGTGTGGTTACCTTTTAATAAAAGCCTTGCGGATCCACTCCTGCGATACCTGTCTTAAATATAACAAAGTTCACGTTGAAATAGATGATTTTTCTTTTTATTGCTTTTTAAAGGCATATGATAACGCCAATTCAGATACATTTGGTAATCTGCAACTGTCAAATGATAAATTTGTAGAACTAATATTCAATATTGAAAAGATATTTCAAAATAATTTTGAAGAATTGGCTACAAAAAATAACATTTGTACCACACTTTTAGAATTAATTAACCCAATACCCTTTAGTCATCCATGCTAACGTTTTCCAAAAAATAACTTATTTTATTGTATGTTTAATCTCAATAACTAAAAAATATACTGACAATTAGTTTGACAGAATTGTCATTTATTTAAAATTTTAAAAATAATAGCAGTCGGTTGATCAAAATATGAACGGTGATTGGCGAATTTATTTTTTTTGCAGTATTCTCACTACCTAGAATGGATATGAAATATATTCGTTCAATTGAAGGCAATAGCATACTTTTTCGTTTTGTAATCTGTGCATGGATATTAGCCAATCTACGCACATACTACAAAACGAAAAAGTATGTTATTGTGTTCAACTACGAATATATTTCATATCCATTTTAGGTAGTAAGAACACTTTAACAAAATTAAATCTACAAATCACAGTTCATATTTTGGTCACACAACTCCTATTATTTAAAATTTTATAAATAAGTGACAATTCTGTTAAACTAATTGTCAATATATATTTTAGTTATTGATATTAAATATACATTAAAATTTTTGTGCAGACTCGATAAATAATAGCATTTTTGTTTCTATTGTGTCTATTTTAATTAAACTACATGATACTAATTTAATTACGAGTATTAAAACTAAAGTCCTGAAAGTTTCGGTGAAGATGAAGACAGAGCATCTGCCTTCCACGCGAAAAGTCCGGGATCGAATCTAGGCCGAGGACTAATTAATTTTTCATGTTTATTTTATTTTATAAATTAGTCAACTTCGTAAATTATTTTAATATTAGTTATTTTGTCTAAATAACCTAAAATAATTTTTTAAATTTGTAGATTTTCGTTAGTGGGTCGTAGAAAAAATATACTGACCATATCGAGTAGATTGTTCATATCACAATCAGACGATTGAGTTCTCCGCCTACGACGTCGTGCTCAAACTTCGTCTTTGTGTGATATGGCTATCATATCCACCCTTGTTGAACAAACTACAATTTATTTGTTTTCTTGGTTTAAGTTTTACATCAGAAATAGGAATTAAATTAATTTACTTTTCAAGTTTTCTTGTAAAAATCGATATTACTTTCTCCAAGTACAAATTTAGTACCTACCTAAAATAAGTACTAATTATGTTATATCTTGTAATATTGTAATTCAAATTTCACATTAATATAAAGTTTTAAAAT